AACAATATAGATATAAAAACAAACAGAAGCTTTAGCTAATATCAGAGCAACTTAAGGAAGCAGGTGTTGATATGCAGTTCGTTAGGCCAACAGTTAGTCGTCCAAGCATAGAAGAAGCACAACCAGGTCTACTAGAAGCTATTGTTTAAATCATTTCTCCAAATGGACAGCCCGATGAAAGGTGACATTCAGAAATGGTACGTTCTGTCAAGACCTTAGATCAGCTTTAAGAAACACTGACACATATGAACTATAAGTTGTCATGCTCTACAACATATCTTAGGCTCATTCCAAAACGGCACAATACTGAAGAGGGAAAGCGACATGTCAAAACTATGCCAGTAAAGCTTCTAAGGTCTCAAAGTATGGCAAGAAGAAGTCATAAGGATACCCGTTTTTGTGCTGCTTCAATAAGGAATATAAAAGAAATAGTATCTTTATTAGGTCCAAAAAGCGTTTTGGTAATATCGCAAGATGACAAAGCACAAGTACCTCTTGGCTTAGCTGCGGCCAACAAACAAGGTAATCTAAAATAAAAATTACAAATTTAACTCAGATTAAAAGTTACTCGGTATTAATAATGCTAGTAATTATAGATAGCTTTTTGAGTGATTTTAACCGAGTCAAAATAGAATTCTTATTTAAAATACAGCATAATAAATTAAAGTTTTACTAATAATAATTAATATAGTATCGATTCTTATGAGGCTAGAATACCGAGTAGAGCTTCCGGATCATGACTGGGTCATTGCTAAAAGGCATAAGCTGATTTCTTCAGTTTATGCAGTATTAGATATGCAAGAAGGTAAGTATGCACATGCTGATACGGTAACATATTCGGGCCCAACTTTTATAAGAATCCACAGTAGTAAGCATGATAGTAGTACCATGTACTCACATGAAAAAGATTTTGATGACTTGATGAATAAGAAGCAATTGCGCAACTACACTACAACAACAAATGAACAACCTAAACCTGTAGTGGTACTGCTAAGTGATGGTAGTCCTGACGAGAATCCTGGTATAAAAAGACAATTCAGATGATGATCGAACATTTTGATAAATACGATCTCGACACCATTATTGTAGCATGCTTTGCACCTCATCAAAGTGCATCTAATCCAGTTGAAAGACGAATAGCATCTCTAAGTCATGACTTAGCTGGTGTCATACTCCTACACAATACATTTGGAACACATTTGGATACACAATTGAGAACAAATGATGAGGAATTAGAAAAACGTAATTTTAAAATAGCTGGAGATGTTTTAACATCAGTATGGGAAAATACAATTATAGATAGTTATCCGGTTCTTGTCAAATATATAAATCCTTTTAAAGAATATCACTATCCAAATGAGAAGTCGGCACTTTGGATAGAGAAACATATAATGACTTGTTGTTACATGACTCAAGTCACAAAGTGTGATGATCAAAGCTATCGCAAACCATTTCGAAGTGGAATAAGACAAATTCTTCCTAATTGCTTTTTCCCCCACCACTCAAAATTTAACAAAAGCCTTTCGGTATTTGCGCAGCAAACATAAATGCATCTGATGATACAATTCATTATTCTGGTTTTTTCTTATCTGTGTTAATAGAAGGAAAGTTAATTCCTCCAAATATGAATTTACGGTATTTTTCTTTTAATTGGTACTGCCTAACTATCAATAAATCGATTAACAAATATATATATCTCTATTGTAATAAGTATTTTGCTTTAAAAAAAACTTTGAATTACTATACGCGAAAATGTTTGTATAAGGAATCTAACTTATCTGTAGAACCTTCTTTGGATGTTCAAGATTTCCAAGTAGACACTAATGCGTCTATTTACAACTATCGACATGATGAAGTCTTGGTTAGTAACCAAAGTAAGGACGCTATGTGGGTGGAAAAAGAAATAGTACCAGAAGATGTATTAGAAACTTATCATCAACAAGTACAGATTCAAGAAAAATTGATTGCAGATAAAGTATTAATAGTTGACTGGGACACTTGGAATCAATGTGAGTGGACCAATGAATAAAACGTACATTTATAACATAGTGTGATCGACAATATAAAATTCAGAAATTTTACCTTCCTAATTCTGATTAGTTTCAAATTTTTCTATGTATAACAAATTTTTTTTATTTATATTTCGAGATTTTTTTAAATAGGCTTTAATTGTATTGTATTATATCATATGAATTTGCACTATATATACTATAGATTATGCATAGACGACCTGGTTATACATATATATTTTATTATATGCATATAGTAAAAAATAGTGTAATATATACAATTTTTAAAATCACATACATTATATATCACTTGACATATAAATGATATTTTAAAAATTGATCTACATTATTTGTCACATATGGTCACGTATTGGGCTGCAGTATATTACACATATATATTAAAAAATAATTCCTGAAAACTTTCAAATATTTACTATTTCACTACTTCCAAAGAACTCATAGTTATCATCATTTACAACATCTACCTGATTAATAGCTATTTCTTCATATTCAATAGTATATTTGACTTATAATAGTATTACTAGAAAAGCTGAATACAGACCCAAAAAACCACATCATGGCAACGGAGAGAGGAGTAAATCGAGTGGAATACCATTGGTATTCTTTATATATTTCAGTGTAGTAATCGTGCATAGCATTAAAAGATGCGTTATGTTCTTTTAAACCATTATTATTAAGTAGTTAACTCAATGAAGCTATGTTCGATCTATTTTTGCGATCCAAAT